GAGGGACATTGTTATGAGCTCTTGGTCTTCAGCTGGCCTTGTGCAGGACATTCTCATGGGATCCAGGCCCTTAGCTGGATTCATTTGGTCTTTAGCATGTGGATAGATTTCCTATACTGTCTTTGCATATGACTTTTTGAGTGACTATTTTTTAATTTAATTTAATTTTTTATATATATGTATATTTATTTATTTGTTTATTTATTTTTCCATAATTTTATTGATAAATAGCAATGAGACAGTTTCAAATCAAATTGGTAGGACAGTTTCAATAATTAACACATTGCATACATTCTTCCTAGTGGTTAATTGCTGTACAAGATGCGGACATGATATCCCATTTGTAAACACTATTAGAACAAATCACTCTATTCATTAAGAGAATGCAACTATATATCTATCCTAACCACCTTGAATACACAGATACAAAATGGACATTCATCTGTATACCCTTTTTTTGTTTAGTTTCGTCATTTGAATATTATAGGTGTGTAAACTCAGCAAAATAGTCTAAAAGAGTCCAGTAGTCCATAATAGTATTGGGTCTTCTGCTTCACTAGCAGTGTCAGAAGTTGTTGACCTGAGTCCCCCACAGCTCAACATAACAGCATGGCTTTACTTCTTATATATCGTTTTTATACTTTTCTGCTGGTTGAATGATTATTATAATCTTATAAATGAAGTGTCCTATATTGTGTTGTTTCCCTTGCAAACCCTGACCAGCAATACCCCCAAAAGCCTTGTGATTATTAGCAGCCACTCCATTTTGCCCTTCCTGTCCCACCCTGTTCTATGGATTTTCCTGTTCTGAGCATTTCTTATAAGTGCATTATACTTGGAAGGCTCACTTATGTGCTTTTGACATCCATTCTTCATTCCTGAGAGATGCCTCCCTGGACTGACGCGAGCCCTGGGTTTCCACTCACACGTGGAAGACAAGCGCCATACGCGCATTGTCGTGAGTGATCCGTCATGCACATTTGCATAGGAATTTTTGGGTGGCGATCCATTTTCATTTCTCTTTCAGCAAACCTGTGGGAGATGCTGTGCGCACTGCCCGAGGAACTGTCCCACTGTTGTCTGCAGCACCTAACCTGCTTTATAGACTCCTGGCCTGTGCGTCAGGTGCCCCGTGTCCTGCAGCGTCGCCTGTGCTGTAACCAGTCCTGGCCTCATGTTCTCTAATCTCTAGGACAACAAACATTTTTCGCATGACTGCTGGTCATTTGTCTTCTTTGCAGAACTATCTTGCAATGAGATGTTTTCTCATTGAGTTGCCTTTTGTTCTGGGTACAAGGTCTTTAGACACAGGACATATGGCCTCTGTCAGGTAAATGACTTGAGAATGTTTGCTAATTTCTGTGATGCATTTTTAGGACTTTGGTTTTATCTGTGAAATGAATGTTCCCTAGATCAGTGCCGAGGGAAACGACGACGTGCAGGCTACGGACGGCCTGCTTGACGCAGCAGGAGCAGAGCCTGCTGCGTAGTCCCACAATCCCTCATTGTCGTAGCACTAGGGCATTTGTGCCATCCTTCCATTTAACCGACAGGATCTCTCAAGAATGAAGTAATTTGCTTGAAGTGACTCAAATAGAGGGAGAATCTCAAGTAAATAGAAAAACTGCCTGCTTCTTAACTCTCTTCTCCTTTACCATTAGGGTTGTTTGAATGAAATCAGTGTCTTGGACAGTGAGTCTGGTATTAATCTCTAGTAAGGGTTATGTTGGGTGAATGTCATCATCCTGTTTCCAAACAAGTGTTATAAATAACAATGGATTAAATGTCTTAACTCTCAGCTTTTGATAACTTCTCTCCCTCCCTTTTCTTCCCTTCCCCTCTTCCTCCATCCGCCTCTCACCCTTCCTCCCTCCTTTCCTTCCTTCTTTTCTTCCTTTCCTTCTTTCTGCCCTTTTCCTCCTATCTGCTTTCTTTATAAGGACCTATTTGTCCTTGCTATATTCTAAGTGCTTGGATGAAATCATAGTATACTCTAGTGGATGGAAGACAAACTACAAATATGGAAATGTACATAAAATTAAAATGTATTGTGAAATAGCTTAACGCCAGAGAAGACAAGGGCTATGGAAACAAAGCAGTGAAGGCATGCATGGGTGGGGTGCGCTTGCCATTCGAGATGAAGTCCCTGGGGAGGAAACGTCAGGCAGACTGGCTCAGCGGGGGGCAGGACCACGCCTCTGTGACAGATGAACTGAGTGAAGACCAATGGGGCTCAGCTTCTGTGCTGCCTGATGAGCGGATCAGAGCGACCTCTGCAAGTGCTAATTTACCCCAGAGACGCTCCTGTCCTTGGATGATGAGACATCGCGAGCGCACCGCTGAGAACGGAGGGTGTGTGCCACTGCGTGTAGTGCTGCTGCACTGTCTCTGCTTATCCTGGTCCATCTAGGACGAAACGGCGCATCCAGAGGCACACAGTGCAACGTAGACAGCAGCCGGAGAAGCTTGGGCTGGGAGAGCCGTGCCCATGTGCTGTCTGTGTAGCTGCATGTTGGTTTTTCAGGGCTGAAGTGGTGTGTTCATGGGCAGGGCTGCCACAGCAACAGATGCAGTCACTTGCTTATTTGTTTCTGCAGTACTGGGGATTCGATCCGAGCCTTCTCACTGAGTTACATCTCTTCCTCCTCCCTTATTTTTAAAAGGTTTTTCTGAGACAGGTCTCACTGAGTTGCTAAACTGCGCATACCGGGTCTCCCAGAGCGCTGGGATTAAGCCCTGTGCCATGATACCCAGCTTAGGCTGAGCGGTTTAACAGCAGGGACTCACTGTTTCCTTCTTCTGGAGGACGGCAGCCCATAGCTGAGGGGTGCCTGGCCTCTGCCTGACGCGCGGGTGGCTGTCGCTTACTGAGCCTGCTCCTCAGATTCCTGAGAGGGCCTGGTATCTGCCTTTCTTCTCTGCTGAAGACAGCATCACACCAGACTCAGCCCACTCCTAAGGTCCTTGTTCAACCCTGATTACCTCTTTAGAGAACCTAAATCTAGACACAGTCATCATCTCAGCATTGGGGAATTAGAAATTCAAAATCCGAATTTTGAGGGTGATACGATCCACTCCCTGACAAGAGGGAAAATAGTCATTTCTACCTTTTAGAGTGGTTTTAAGAATTAATTGAGGGCCAGCCAGATAGCTCAGCAGATTAAAGTGCCTGTTTAGGCAGATGCAGGGAGCAGGGTTTGATCCCCAGCATGCCATGGGGCACACTGAGATGGTGATTGAGACTAGGCATGGTGGCGCAAGCCTGTAATCCCAGCACTTGGGAGGCTGAAAACAGGAGCATCACTACGAGTCTGATCTGTGTAGTAAGACCCTGTACTAAATACATTTAAAAAAAAAAAGAATTAATTAAGGTCATATAGACAGTCCCCAAGCCATACCTGGGACAGGATGAGTTCCAGGAAGGGTGCTGTCTCCAAGTACCTGAGTCCTACTCTCCACCCACAGTGGGCCTTCATTGGTGGCTGAACTCTAGGGATTGTACCTGGTTTTTCAGTGCTGGGGTGGAGCCCTTTGCATGCACTCCTTGGGCGAGGGGTGGTCTGCTGATCATTAATCACTTCTCAAAAGTCCATCTGCACCTAGGATGGCCCTCGTCCACTTCTGGTGCTCAGCACACTCCTGGGTCCCTCCTGGCTCTTCATCCCCAGGCCAACCCTGCGCCACACACATCTTTTGCTCTTCTCCTCCCTGGGTCTTGGCTTTATCTGCAGCCATTAAACTTGCAAGCTGAATAAGAATGGAGTTTCTTTCTGTGGCCACAGCACAGATTCCTTCGTCTTAGGTTCTTGGGAGTTCCTTCATGTAAATTTTCCACAATTGTCTCTGCTTTTGAGCATTCCTTGCATACTAATGAACCTTTTAGACTTTCATTTCCCAGCAGCCATACTGTATGTTTTCTGGAATTCAAAGAGGAGGCTGAAGGGGAGGCCTCCAGCCCACAAATCTGTTGCTCAGCAGGAACAGATAGTTTTTCTCCAAATGCTTCACCTCTGGAGCCGCAGCCCTTTCATTGAGATGCAAAATGGGCTGGAGCAGCCCTGCCTGGGCCCAGCCACTAAGGTCACTGCAGGCCCAGTCTCCTGACACATTTCCTGTTAAGTTTTCTTAAGAAGTGAGAGAAACACTGGCAAGACATTTGAGTAAAGGTCAAAGTCAGGTGTTAAGGGACACTTACTGTAGACTGAGAGTTGAAGCCACCACAGAGATGCATCGTAGCTTCCTCTGTGCTAAATAAAAAAGAAAATTCTACAGCCCATCTTTATTCTTTTATTGTCACTGCACAGCAGTCTTTCCAGAAATATAAGCAGAGTTAACTACAATTAATTAACTGCACAATTAACTTTTAAAAGCCATGTATATTTTTAAAAATAATTCTGAAAATATTTGTCTCATTGGAAAAATAAATTTTATCTCCGATGATATAATTTTGTTTCTCATGGAAAAGAAGGACAATATTAATTTTGTGAAGGAAGCATCACCTTTATTTAATGATGTTTCATGGGATGAAGGTGGCAGCACTCTGTGTGTGTTGTGTGCTTGTATGGTTTTAATCTCTTATTTCCTTGTTCTTTCTTTTTAAACAACATTATTTTTTATTTGTAAAGTATCTCATACACGTCTGCACTACCAGGTTGCCAAATGGAATTTAGAAGAGCTAAGCTGTCTGATTCATTTTTGCTTTAAGATTACTGTTTTTCCTTTAATAACTGATTTATTTGGTCTCATCCTAGAATATATTTTCTTCTTTGACAAGTATTAATGAATTCTTTGGTAGTAGTTGTCACATAGATGGTTTTGGGTTTAGGAAACCTAACATGGTGGATAATTCTCCCATTTAAGAGATTGCTTTTATATTTAGTGACATTTATCGTTATGTAAGGCCAGCTGCCTGGCTTCTGTTGAGTGCTGTGTTTATGGGGTTTGAACATCTATAAATAGAAACACTAGCTAACCAGAAATTATCGCTGGGGCTTTCTGATAGTGTCCCAGGCTTTCACAACTTGGAATGTCCAGCAATATCCAACATGTAAGCACGTCAAAGCATTTTCTACACAGAATCTGAATCTCTCTCTCTCTCTCTCTTTTTCTCTCATCTCTCAACATGGAATTTGAAAAGCATGAAAAAGGAAGCTTAGACAAGAATTTAGGCGAGAGGCTGACGGTAAGCCTTGCGAGACCTAGCGTGTACTCGCGTATAATGTAATTGCTGGGGCAGAAGAGTGGCAATCAGGCTGGGAAAGCTGGACTAGCCAGCCTCTGTGTCCATGTTTTGCTAGTCAACAACCTTACAATCAGAGTTTTGTAGCTTTCCTGACTAGTAAAATGCTAAATGAAATTTCATTACTAGAAAATAGGTTGATTTGATTTAATTAAATGATATGCTTAAATTCTTTTAGTTTGAAACTTTCTTATGATTGTCTCAATTCTAGAAGATTGTTTGACTTATTGGTAAAATGTTTAGCAAGTATTTCTTGTGGAGATATGAGAAAAATGTGCCAAAGAAAATCTAAAATATTACAGAACATTTTAATGTTTTATGTGGTAAGTTGAATGGACTTAAACTATAAGGATAAAGTTTACTCTTCAGCAAATTTTGTGGCTTCTTTTGGTTTGCTTTTACTATAGAAATTGTACAACTGTATTTGATGCTAAGCAATTAAGTCCCAGTGAATAACAGTGGTTCTTTGTTTGCTCAAATACAGCGAGAACAGTGCCTGGTAGATGGGTGTCCTTGGCTCATCTCGTGGGTATAGGTGAATAATGGTGCTTGCAATTTACTGTGGCCCCAGAGTTAACTTTCAAGTAGGGGCATGATTAATTTAAATGACCATGAGACAGCAAAAAGTGTAACCACGTTGATTAAAAATGAGGTGTAACTTGTGAGGATACATTATTCAGATGCCTAAAGTTGAGGTTAAGGGTATTAAAGTTTGAAAAAAATGGGAAAAACGACCCATACTTGATTGGAGATTCTTGAAGTCTGTAAAATCTCAAGGTCTTAAAGAATATTTTTGGCTAAAATCTAACCTCTTTTTATGGATGTGGCGCCTCTCCTTGAACCTGGATGGGGACCGCTGCTCCAGGTGGTCATGGAAACATGATGCGCCAAGGCTGTTTTGCTTATTGACTATGATGAAAGATCGAATATTATGGAACTGACTGTGGATCTTAAATCAGAAAGGGCTGAGTGAAAATTCTTTCTCCACAACTCCTAAGGGAAGGACTTTGGGATTTTATTTAACCTTTCCGAATTTCAGCTAACTCACTTGTAAGACAGGAAACAGCCTGACCTAATTTGAAGGCTTTTATAGGATTAAAAACTGTCATGTGGTGACATTCATAGCCTGAGCTGGGTTCAGTTTTCTTCCAAACTCCTCAGAAGCGCACACCTGATGGTTTCATACGTGCGCATGCGGAAAGAGAGGAGAGAACTGAGATGCGTTTCAAAGGGAAGGGAAGGGTCAGCTGCCCTAAGCATGAAGGTCGGGGTGCAAGGCCTCCCTGGAACCAGCCAGGGACCAGGACAGGCACGAAGCCATTCCTTGGGTGAAGGTGGACCCAGCCCCTTGCACAGAGGGCCTGGGCAGGGCACAGGGACCGTGACCTCCTGTTCTTTGAGGGGACTTGGTGTGGCAGCATTTCACTTTTGGGAAGGTCAGGCGTTCTGCAGGCCCAATTCTACCTTGAACACAATGATAAATGAAGAGGAGGGCAAAAAAAAAAAAAAAAAAAAAAAAAAATGTCTCCTTAGAGGAACTCTCTCTCACAAACCTGTGAACATTACTCTGCAGCTGATGCCTAAGGCAAGCCTCTGGGTAACTTCTGAGAGAGTGGAGGAAGTAGAGCTGCAGACCTGAAAGCAGGGTGTGGTGGAGCTGCCTGTGAGGTTGGGCTGTGGGGCAGGGTGTGGTGGAGCTGCCTGTGAGGT